TATAATTAATTTTATTTATTTATTTATTATTATTTTTATAAAATTAATAATTTTAATAATAAAAAATAAAAATATTTTAAATATGTTTTTATTAGTTATTTAATGTTAAACAACAATCGTTAACTATTGCATAATCAAATAATTATATTTAACGAATCCATTATTTACTATTTACTATCAACTTTTCGCTATCTGTTAACCGCCACCGCCACCCACTATCCGTTATTGCTATTCATTATCTATTATCCATTATCCGCTAAATTTTAACTGCTGTATCAAACAAGTTAATGGAATTTGTTTTTAAAGGCTTAACGTATGGTGCTGTCACCACGATTAGGTGCCGACACCAAACCAGTGTCGGCTGACAGGATCTTTCCGCCTTTTTTCAATGGTAAAATTGCAGATCTAGTCTTCCAGCTTTTATACAATGAACACTTTGATCCCACCACTTTGGATTCATTCATTTATGTTCTTGAAAGGACCTTTCTTCTCGCAATTCAATCCCTCCACTTTCAAAAGATATTCAATTAATTCTAAAAACTCCTATTATTATGCATTTAAGACTTTTTTCATAAAGAATGAAAATTATGTATTGAAATGCACATCTTATCCATTCAAATAGTAACAAAATTAAGACTAAAATAATATATTAAAATATATAAAAATACATCTCATCAGTTGGCACTAGGTTTGATATAATTGCAAGGTCATCAGCTGCTTCAAACCCTTAACACAGAAGTATCTCTTGATCAAGTTATTACAAAATGAGCACTTCCCAGTTACTTAGCCTAGAAGTTTGTCCTTGCCGACTTGAGGACAAAATGCCCAAGCTACCAGTCAAATTTTTAGGCCAAACAATTTAAGGTGTTCATATAGGGGAAAAGACAATCATATCTGTCTTAATAAAACCACCACATCTTCCTCCATTTCTCTGCAAAATCAAAGCATCAATCATGACACCAAGAGACATGTTTGCTCATCTAGGATCCATAATTGCCAGTTTGATGTTTGTCTGGGCTGTTTTTCAGCAATACTTCCCGTATCAGCTTCGAAACTACGTCGAGAAATACTCTCAGAGATTGATGACTTTTGTGTACCCTTATGTTCAAATTACCTTCAATGAGTTTACCGGGGAGCGTCTGATGCGTAGTGAAGCCTACACGGCCATTGAAAACTACCTCACCTCCACTTCCTCCATGCAAGCAAAGCGGCTCAAGGCTGATATTGGGCGGAACAACCAGTCTCTTGTGCTCAGCATGGATGATCACGAAGAAGTTGCGGATGAATTTCAAGGAATCAAACTCTGGTGGGCTTCCGGTAAGCATATTTCCAAGACACAGTCATTTTCTTTCTACCCTGTTACAGATGAGAAGCGGTATTACAAGCTCACTTTCCACAAACGTCACCGGGATCTCATCATCGGAGCTTACCTGAAACATGTGGTGAAAGAGGGTAAGGCCATCAGGGTGAGGAACAGACAGAGGAACCTGTACACAAACAACGGATCCAGGTGGAGCCATGTGGTGTTTGAGCATCCAGCAACGTTTGATACTCTGGCTATGGAGCAGGAGAAGAAGAGTGAAATTGTGGAGGACTTGATTACATTCAGTAAGGCTGAAGAGTTCTATGCAAGAATAGGAAGAGCATGGAAAAGGGGTTATCTCCTTTATGGACCTCCAGGGACAGGGAAATCGACAATGATCGCCGCCATGGCCAATCTTCTAAGCTATGATATATATGATCTTGAACTGACTGCTGTGAAGGACAACACTGAATTGAGGAAGCTCTTGATAGAAACATCTAGCAAATCTGTTATTGTGATCGAGGATATTGATTGTTCCCTTGATCTCACCGGACAGAGGAGGAAGAAAACAGAGAAAGAAGAAGTACAAGAAGAAACCAAGGATCCGAAGCAGCGACCTCCCAAAGATGAAAGAGAGAATATAATCAGTCAGGTTACTCTTTCAGGGCTACTGAACTTCATCGACGGGCTATGGTCAGCTTGTGGGGGAGAAAGAATCATTGTTTTCACAACAAATCATG